GCAACGACAGAAAGTAGCTGGCGCCGAGCGAGATGGCCGAGATCAAGCGATATGGGAGGACCATGGTGAAGAGCGGCGGATGACTTGTCCTCTATTCTACAAGGACGTCGTCACGGTACCGGGTAGGGTGTCCGTTGATAAGGTATATAGGTGTATGATTGCTGAAGCGGAGCAGGGAGGAGGCGACCGACGGGATGACGAGGAGGCGAATACCTAGTACCACATGTCTCAGACACGTTCGCTCGGGGATATATATCGTTCTCGTTCTCGCTATCGTGGCCTTGACTTGGGTACCGAAATCTCTCATATGTTTGGAGCCAACCTTTCCGTACCTTATCCTCCTTTGGGAGCAAGTTTCAGTCCAAGAAGGAATAGATTGATCTGAAATCGCTTTGAGAATGCAGGAGGCAAGCAGTATTCCGTATAAAGGAAGACGACCCCAAGGCCAGACCAGACGTCCTCAATTGCACAGAATTTCTGACGGATCCATTTCGTATCTTGACCTGGGATTCGGCCCAATTGCCTTTCCGACTCGCGCGGGGAAGCAATGGACGGACGTGATGAAACAGGATATTTGGTTTTTGTTTGACATTCGAATAGCGTATGGTTACCGTAGGTATCTACTAGAGAAACCACTGGTGGGGCATGCCTCCTCGGCCCGGGGTGCAGGCTTGGAAAGTGGAGCGCCACCGAACACGCACCTGTAGCGGCGTTCGGGGGATTTATCCCTCCTTACGATCCGTATGCCTACGGGATACGGAGCAGCTCATTTTCCATCAGACGATGGTGAAGCTGGGGAAGAAACGTCAGTCAGCTGGTGCCCGGTGCTGAAACAATCGTATAACAACCTGGAAATGGAAGATGAGGCTCTCTTCGCCATCGGGATTATGAGACCATCCGATCTTCTCAAGTCCGACTCCGGTCAGCACCTTATTTCGAGGTTTTGAAGAAGCGACCAAGTGCAAGTCCATCGATACTATCATCTTGTGCTCTGAGCTCTACCTAGGTAGGTCCCAGGCAGCTCCCAACAACATGCTTGCTAACTCGATGGCAATACATTGGGCGTGGATCATGGCTGCTTGATTGGTCCCCGAGATCTTTTTTTATCTGAGTGAGTCCAATGTCAAACGAAAGGCAGGGATGCAACAGTGCATTTTCTCCCCATCTTCGTTACCAGGTATCCGGATTAAGAGTCATATTAGGTATTTCGCAACAAAAAAGAAAGAAGCCCAGCAGCTTGGCTGAGATATTAATTATCTTTCAGACCGTAACCACCTTATTGATATCATGGACGCTACTATCAAGTGGCCTGGTAACTCCTCAACACCAGACATAGAGGCCATGGACGACCCTGTCCTCTCTCTGCGCGCCGCATCGCGGAAGCTCGTCCGGGAATGGGGCTTCCTGCGGCCCAAGTTTGCCGGCTCGGCCCTCTCACCGGCTGCTGTACACTGCCTGATCGAGATCGCCGACCACGGCCCGGTCCGTACCTTCTCAGAATTCTGCACCGAACTGCAGGTCTCGCCCAAAGAGCTGAGGCGCATCGTGGCTAAACTCGCCGTAAGCGGCGATATCATGACTGTACGGCCCTCGCCTACCCAATCCAACCTTGCAGCCGCCAGCGGTGACGAGGCATCGGAGGACAAGTACTGCCTTACATCAACTGGGCTGCAGACCCTGAACGACATCAATGCGTACGCACAGAACTAGGTCAATAAGGCGCTGCAAGTCGCGCATCCGAGCTCCGGCACCGATATAACGACCGCATTCCAGCTCTACGCAGCTTCTTTGGAGATGGTGAGGCTCAGCGAGGCAAAACCCACCCCTGAGATCACACCGAGTGCGAGACCTGCGCGATCACCTGCTCCACCCCTATTCCCTGCTGTGACCATTGTCCCGGGCTACCGGCCCAACATCCTCGGCCGCACGCTGGAGATGCATCTGTATTTCTACTCGGCAGCCTTCGGGTGGGGTAGAGAATTTGATTCAAGCCTGGCAACTGGGCTCGGCGAGCTTCTGGCGCGGCTCCACAACCCAGTGAATAAAGTGTGGGCAGCAATCCGGACAACCCCAGCCCGAGACCCAAATATGCCCGCGGTAGAGCAAATCGTGGGCGTGATATACGTCGACGGCGAGCACCCGGTCCTGGAAAACTCTGCGCGAATCCGTGCCTTCATCGTGGACGATTCGGTGCGGGGGCTGGGCTTGGGGAAACAGCTCTTCGAGGCGGCCATGGCATTTGTCCGCAGCGTTGGATTCCGAGAGTGTCGACTGTATACCATGCGCCAGCTGACGCCGGCGGTGCGGTTGTATGAGAGAGAAGGGTTCGTAGAGGTCGGCAAGTAGTTCTCAGAGCGCTGGGGAAAGGGGCATACATCCTTGGAGTTTGCCTGGCGCCGAGATAAGAGCCTGAGGAACGAGAAGGATACAACCTAGGAGACCAATTTCCCTTCTTCTTAGAAAAGAAAGAAGAGTCTTGTCCATAAACTTCATCTGTGCCATGGCGATACCCAGCCAGCCGCCCAGAATGACTCCTTTCATGAACTCCTGAGTCGTAGCATCACAGCTAACCCCCAGCTCAGAGCGCACCATGCTCCCCACGCCAGACACAGAGCCAACAGCCCCAGAAATACGAGCACAGTGCTGCGGATCTCAAAGGCGTCGGCTGCTTCCATCTTGACGAGCTTCCGTTGCTTGCTGTGGTAGTACCAATGACGGCCGCCGCCGCCACCGCTCGACTCGTCGGTCCCACCAAGCGGGCGCCCGTATTCGTCCACAGCCAAATATTGATATTGCCGGTAGCGGTAGAGCAGCCGGTGAAGCCAGCGTGGCATGCGGCTTACTGGTTGTGCTTCGGCATGGTAATGCGAGCGGAGCACCGAGTAGCGGAAGTCGACGACGGTAAGGGAAACCAAGAAGGAGACGAATACGATGGGGGTCATAATAATCTGCAATCTCGTCAGTTTGTTCTGGGACGTGGTGGCTGAGTGAGACCTTTCTTCAATCTCTATAGGTCCGTCGATTGACTTTGACTTACCTTGTAGAAAGCAGACTGTGCGCCAGGCGAAACTTGAGGGGCATCGCCACGATTGGCGCTGACAGGAGAATGTGTCGACGGCGCCATTGATTGCAGTGATCTGTGTTTTAACCACTGCAGAATGTTCCGGCTAAATCAACCACTCAAAGAATTGATAACCTTCTCCCTTTTTAGATTGCGCGTGGAAGTACGTAGTTCGGCTTGAATGGGCGAGACGCTGTAGTTGGGCCGAATTAACAAACAAAAGCATTGACGTCACCGCTGGGGACGAGGGAGCTACCTTAGGTATCTGATGGAGATGATCGATAGCTTTGGTTCCACTTTTTAGCACCAGCACAACACGGAGTTGCTTGGTGTTGTCGGCGTGAAGGATGAGGTCTGAGTAAAATTGAGGAAGGAACATACTGTATTGAGATAGAGCTGAACGAATCCTACTTTTTCCCCTAACATTGGCACCTTGCGTAATCGACAGTATGCGCCCAATGGCCCGGGGATGCCGGAGAGCTCAGCTCAGCTCTCTGACAAAGAGTCGCAACATGTAATTGGATGTGGCAGTTACACCCGACGAGCTGCAGCGGAAAAGGATTATGGGGCTTCGTAAGCCGTTCGGCGGTGCTCGCTGGTCCACTCATGAGCTGTCGAAGGAACAAAATCTGATGCCCGCGAAATTCCGAATAGGATCTGGGTCTGGACCAACTCTCATTTCATGAACGAGGTACTGTGATTGAGAAAAAATCACTCTTGATATTCGAGGGTAATTCTTCCCCGAAGTTTCCTGCCACCTAGTTGCTATGCTCAAACTATCATGGTCAATTGTTGTCAACTCAAAGCCTTGCCTCAGGTTGCGGGCCATCTAGTCACGGCAGCGCAATGCACTCAATCTCGACATCCACGGCCTTAGGCAGCTGCTTCACGGCAACACAGCTCCGGGCCGGCTTGTGCACGAACCACTTGGCATATTCCTCATTCATGTTCTACAGGTACCAACGGGGGTTAATTAGAGCTCAGCCTATAACAAGTGCACAGTGATGACAGGAAAGAGGGGATTCTTACGGCGAAGTTTGCCATATCAGTGAGGAAGATGTTGACCTTGACGACCTTCTCAATCGATGATCCGGCCTCCTCGAGGACGGCCTTCAGGTTGGCGATGCAAGCAGCCGTCTTCTGCTGGATGGTACCCTCGACAAGGTTGCCCTCGGCGTCGCAAGGGATCTGGCCAGAGCAGTAGATAGCATTCGGCGTCTTGATGGCTTGGGACTGGTCTCTTGTCAGGTATCCATCTCTACAGACAACACCCGGGAGCCCAGAGAGACGACAGGACGTACGTAGGGGCCCGCAGCTACGTCAGATTCGAGTCAGTATTTCTTCCAGCAGTGATAATCTCAGAGGACCGTCACATACGCGGGGCAGCGTTCTTGGTGAAAACCGGAGTGCCAGACATCTTGGGCCGTAGTTGAAGGAATTGGAGGCTAGAAGTTAGTTGTCTGTTTCCTGAGGCGGCAAATGAAGGTCGAAGAAGAACTGGGACAGCTCGTCTGGTGGTGGCAGCGGCAAACATGAGCAGCAACTGAATCAATGGAGTTGCGAGTTCACTCGGCTCCGTTATTCGGACCACAGTGGGTTAAAAATCGACATGCAGTGCATCTACATCCCAGGCTGCGGGGTCATCATGCATCCGGTTGTAAGCGTCGGTGGTGACGAGGGACGGTACGGATTACCGGTACAGCACGCTCGGTACCTTTCATTAAGTAACCCATATGGTAGATTGGAGACAACAACCGACACGCTATGCCCTATCGAAAGAGTGCCAGCCCGGCACATGGCATCAACCGAAATGATCAACTGATAATTGCGGCCCGCTGTGCGAATTGGTGGGCGAAGGAGTTGTTCTGAGACAAAAAATCTCAGGACCTCATTCATGGCCCTGTTCACCATCGTCGAATTTGGCAAAAAGGAGGTCAAGTGGTCCGACCGAGGATTGAACTCGGGACCTTCGCATATGAAGAGTGTTTGAGACTCTACTATAAGAACGATGTGATAACCAGCTACACCACCGGACCCATCCATATCCATGCTGTTGAGCGGAATTTTGGGCTTACAAGGTGCAAGGGCGTAGGAGCAGGAGGAGTTGCAGCTGACGGAAAGCGGGAGGAGGAGCCCGGGTGGAAGTCGAGTGGGAACCTCTCCTCAAGCAAAGGCAAAAATACGCAAGGCGCCTTGGGTAGGTTCGTTAGGTACGTTTAGGTAGGCAAGAACGAACTGCTAGTAACAAAAGAGACTGGGTCGTGAATGGAATTGGATGTAATACTGAGAGTTCAGGTCATTCGACATCTGCTTAATATTTAGGTACGGGTGTAACTGGATTCAGTTGCTTTCCGACTTTCTAATAAAAGTGGCAGCGAGACCAACTTATCTTATCGACAAAAGGGAGCTTGGACCACCCCAGCTAACCAATCCCTTATGCTGACGCAGCCGTAAACTTTGCCAACTGTCCCCAAGAGGAACCCCTAGGATGACATCCACTTGCTCTGCCGTCCCGCAGGAAGGAAGGCTACAGCACCAGGTAATAATAGGGGCTGCAGGCCATCAATTTATTTTCAGCTGTTCAGGTTGGAGGCTGCAACAGTTCACCGTATTTTCTTTGCGGCTTCATTCCCGCTGTTGGACTTCTTACACTCTTTTGTTCGACCGTGTCTGCTTTTAACTTCAGGTGTGCACCATTGGGATACTGTCCTGTGAGTACCACCCCTTCTCTCCACCGGTCTCCATACCTGCCTGGTGTCCTCTTCTCCCGTCCTCTGCAAACCTCCAAGCTCGGTCCATCATCAACCGGGCCCGGTGTACCTTACGGGTTACTTGGAAACCATCGAAATCGGAGACTGGATCTTCAGGACGGACGGGAGTCCCTCAACGTTGGACACTGACTAACCATTTACAATCCCCGTTCAGCTTCGGTTTGACCATCACATCTCGTCGCCCGCCATGGCGGCTACCTCGACACCCCAGGGCTCTCTACGCCAGAGAAATGTTGGCGGCTCGAGCAAGAAGATTAAGGATGGCGCGGCATCGGATGTCGAGCTCGACAAGTTCCCAAAAGCCGGCGCTGCCAAATCTGGCCCCGCCGGTTCTGACCGCGATTACAAGGTCGTCTTCGCCTTCATCACAGCCATGGCATTCCTCACCAGGTTTTGGGGCATCAGCCATCCCAATGAGGTGGTCTTTGACGAAGTCCACTTTGGAAAGGTATGCTTCTCCTTAGCCCCAGGTTGCCAATTGATCAATTGACTGACGTTGCCATCGCACAGTTCGCTTCATACTATCTCGAAAAGACCTACTTCTTCGACGTACACCCCCCTTTCGGAAAACTCCTCTTTGCTTTTATGGGCTGGCTGGTAGGCTATGACGGCCACTTTCACTTTGACAACATTGGCGACTCCTATATCGCGAATAAGGTCCCCTATGTAGCCTTCCGCTCGCTGCCGGCCATTCTCGGTGCCCTGACGGTCTCGGTCGTCTATATGATCATGTGGGAGTCAGGATACAGCCTTCCGGCCTGCGTGGTTGCAGCCGGCCTAGTTCTTCTCGACAATGCCCACATTGGACAGACTCGGCTGATCCTTCTCGACGCGACCCTGGTTTTCGCCATGGCATGCAGCTTGCTCTTTTACATTAAGTTTTACAAGCTGAGACACGAGCCTTTTTCAAGGAAGTGGTGGAAATGGTTGATACTCACGGGCTTTGCCCTCTCGTGCGACATCTCGACCAAGTACGTGGGCCTATTTGCCTTCATCACCATTGGCTCGGCCGTCATCATTGATCTTTGGGACCTCCTGAATATCAAGAGGCCCGGCGGTGCTCTGAGCTTGCCTGATTTTAGCAAGCATTTCGCTGCCCGAGCGTTTGGCCTGATCATTATGCCCTTCATCTTCTATCTCTTCTGGTTCCAGGTTCACTTCGCCATTCTTACTCGCTCCGGGCCTGGAGACGATTTCATGACACCCGAGTTCCAGGAGACCCTCAGCGACAATGTCATGCTCGCAAACGCTATTACCATTGATTACTATGACACAATCGTCCTGAAGCATAAGGAGACCAAGGCCTATCTCCACAGTCACCCGGATCGCTACCCCTTGAGGTACGATGACGGCCGTGTTTCCAGCCAGGGCCAGCAAGTGACGGGTTATCCCTACAATGACACCAACAACCATTGGGAAATCCTGCCCTCTGTGAATGATGATCACAAGCTAGGCCGCCACGTCAAGAACCACGACCTGGTCCGACTTCGTCACGTGGTCACCAATACATACTTGCTGTCTCACGATGTTGCGTCTCCTTATTATCCTACCAACCAAGAGTTCACCACCGTCGCTGAGACAGATGCATTCGGCGACCGAGCCCCAGATACTCTGTTCGAGGTCCGGATCGAGAACGGCAAGACCAACCAAGAGTTCAAGACCGTGTCTAGCCACTTCAAGTTCATTCACAATCCCAGCAAAGTCGCCATGTGGACACATACTACGCCACTCCCAGACTGGGCTTTCAAGCAACAGGAAATCAACGGAAACAAGCAGATTACTCCAAGTTCGAATATCTGGCTTGTGGAGGACATTCCCTCCCTTCCGGCCGACCACCGGCGCCGCCAGAAGGAACAGAAACAGGTCAAGACCCTGCCGTTCATGCGCAAGTGGTTTGAGCTGCAGCGGTCCATGTTCTGGCACAACAACCAGCTGACTAGCAGCCACCCCTATGCCTCGCTGCCCTACCAGTGGCCCTTCCTTCTTCGGGGTGTGAGCTTCTGGACGCAGAATGACACCCGCCAGCAAATCTACTTCCTCGGAAACCCCATCGGATGGTGGGTTGCTAGCAGTGTTTTGGCGATCTACGCCGGCATTATCCTTGCCGACCAATTCTCCCTTCGCCGCGGCATCGATGCCTTGGATCACCGTAAGTTTCCCCCGCACATCTGATGATGGATAAATTTGTCAAACAAGCAGGCGCAAAATTAACGAGTTATCTTCCTACAGGCTCTCGCTCGCGTTTGTACAACTCCACGGGCTTCTTCTTCCTGGCGTGGGCCACCCACTACTTCCCGTTTTTCGTCATGGGTCGTCAGCTCTTCTTGCACCACTATCTACCGGCGCATCTGGCATCGACGCTTGTGACCGGCGCGCTCGTAGAATTTGTCTTTAGTGCAGACTCGGCCGAGAACGAGGCGGCTTACCAGGCTATCAGGGCAGGCAAGAAGCCGGCAACGAGCGCGGGCGTCAAGCGCCACGTGTCTGCCCGCGAGCGATTTGCCGGTCAGAGCATGATGGCCTCGTGGATCGCAACCATTTTGATTCTGTCCATCGTCTTTGCTGGCTGGTACTTCTTCCTGCCACTGACGTACGGATACCCGGGCCTCTCGGTCGACCAGGTGCTTAGGAGGAAGTGGCTTGGCTACGACTTGCACTTTGCGAAGTAGAGTGCGTCGGTTGGGCTCGCTGGTAGTTTTGAGTGATCTCGACTGCTTTAGGGAACGTGTTGTTTCTTTAGTGTCAAAAGACGACCAAGTAGGTAGCTTATCAGATGGGTGCGAGATAAGAAAAGACACCTGATTGTACGATGTTTGTGCGAGATAACAAAACTTTGGAGGCTGGTCGGGTAACCTGTGGCGTAAAGTAGGTAAAGGAATGTGCGGTATGATTTCGGTATGAGGTTGGAGGCAAAAAGGGGGACTCTCCTTCCAGCATATTTGGGTGGGAGGAATATGAAAAACGACAAGTCACACAGGTCAAGCGTCTCTCTAATACTGGTGTTCCTTTGTTATCTACCTGGTTCGCATCTAGAGTTATATCAGACAAATAAGACAGAAAAATCACATCACTGGGCAAGGTATGCTCATGGAAAGTAAGCATGATGAGTGATAAGCTTCCATTTTTTATTTATAAAAAATGTAACAAAGTTACTTTCACGTTATCCTACCGGGACGTAATGCCTGTGCGGTAGTCTAAGTGAAACAATATCTCCGGCCTACCGTTACTTTGTTCTCTACACCACTATGCAAGAACAAGAGGAAGCCTCCCGCGCTTATGTTTCCTAATGGATGTGGTAACTCAGGGTTCGCATCATGAAGTCACTAGGTAGTGTTGGAGCACCCGCAGTAGTTGGGCGTCAGTTGCTCGCGCCAACAACCAACAGTTATGCTGGATAGTCGTCCTATAACTGCTGGGCGCACACGATATCTCGAAGAGTCGTATGGACAAACGGCGGGAGTTAGGCGGGTCGGAACCTAAACGTATCAAGAGCCAACGCAGTCAGTCACCAGTTCCTCAAGATACCAGTTTGACACCCCAGTTCACCAAAAGAAAGAAAATGCAAAAAGCTTTCCCCATCAGAAACCCAATTTATAAGCACTACCAGCCTCACCACACACTACCGCCTACTCCCTACCGCCCTCACAAAGCATGTGACGATGCAACGTGCTTCTCCATAATGTACGGAAAAGGCGGACCGGAAGACAGCAAGCGAATAGATACGCGGCCAGCTAAGGGGGCACGAGACCACCGAGGCCGGTTAAGACGGCTCTTCCTATAAGATTTGATAAAGGGTTGCAACTGGCGTTGCGTAACTCATCATGGAAAGGGGAAATATAAATCTTATGCGTTTCGTTCTTTTTCTTTCGGTAGGGGTCGCTGCCCTAATAACAAATAGATAGGCAGAGACGGAAGAATGGCAACATACCCACAAATAAAGCGTCCTGTTTCGGTAGGGATACGGTGGCAAGCCGAAAGGAACGTGTCTCCGCGCAGCTGTACCAGGTGGGAAGACCGCCAGTCTGTTCGACAACGGGTGGCCTGCCGATGTTGCTTCGACTTTGACACCGAAGTCGATCTGTGTTGGTAATCGTTGCGCGCACTGGTCTGGATTCTGGGGAATTAGTCAGGCAATCAGGTAGTTAGCTTCCTTGGAGAACTCTCGAAACCTGACGACAGCTTGCAAGCTGGGGCTTCCAATTCATATAATTGGTAAGCCTTTTGTCATCGTTTCTTCGTCATTGATTGCCGATGGTTGTTGGAGA